ACTAGTTTCGGCTACTGTCATCAACACAAGCAGAATTCAAGTCCTTTAACAGAAATATTTAACAATTTAAGATAATAGAACTAACACTAGAAACTTTCGGATTTTGCCGTGCGTCTTTTAAGAAAAGGTTTGACGTTTCGTATGCCATGTTGCTACCTTCTTCAGAAACTGGTTCGAAATCACTTCGAATATACTTTAATATACATTTCCAAGGTTATAACTTGTTTGCCATTGGATATCCATTGTTGGACATTAATTATCGCTGCTAACAAAATTGTGGTCTGTAATCTGAGCATCTAGATTTCATATCTTGTTAACAGAATAAATTCATCTTGATCATGTAAGGCAACATTATGTTGCCAAGTACGATAAAGATGTTTGTCCATATATAACAGTGAAACATATTATGTTCTTGCTATTAGCTTTATCTTAGTCGTTTATGGTCGATATACTGTTGAGACTGTTTCTCTTCCATAACCTCTAAAATTATATTCCTTACTCGGTGTTTAATTAATTCCATGAATGATTCTGGTCCAATACTAGGTGTTCAATTTGATAGGTTTCGGATGGTTATCATCGACGCAATTTTGATACGACACCTCTGCTAGAGTAACTACTCTATGGTCAGTCAATTATACAAGGTAATTGTGGTAATCTCAACTTGGTCCGTGTAGCATTAATAAATTAACTATAAAGATCATAAAGTATCAACAGAAATCCAAGCAACCTATCGTTATAGCAAAAATATGCGCACCTCATTCCATGTTGTTTGCTTATCTGCCAACAATTCCGCTATTACTTCATCCCATGTTCGCTTAGGCCTTCCCCTTTTTTTGTTCCTCCCAAGTCTTGCTTCCCATATCTATCTGGTTTGCCTTTCCTTTGCCATTCCTTGCAAATCTGCACCGCCTTAGCTATTTTTTATTTATTTCTGCGTCCTATGAACCATTCTCTTCTATAGTCACTCGTCCATCTCTACCTGTTCTTCACTTATTACCATGACTTTTGTTTTCATTTCTATACTGATTAACGTTATACCCCTATAATTGTTGCAGTCACTCCTATTTAACTTATTTTTGTATATTGGCACAATTAGTGATTTCTTCCGATTCTCTGCTATTTGTTCCGAGTTCTATTTCATTTTATAGATTTATAGCATTATTTCTCTTCCTTTTTGTATCATGTACTTGACCATTTCTGTTGTTACCTTGTTCTGGCCTGCAACTTTTCCATTCTTCATTCAGAGTGAGAATATTGCTTCCTCAAATTCAACAAGTTTTATTTCATCTCTTTCATGTTCATTCGTTTCTTCCTGTTATTTAATTTTTGCTATATTTGTTTCTCTGCACAGAAGCTCTTGGAAGTATTCTTTCCATCTATTTATTATATATTTCTTTTTCGCCTATCAATATCTCTCCTTTTTTGTCCAGGATATATCGTCATATCATTGGGCTTTTCTGTTCTTATTTCTTTTAATACCTTATAGAATAATTTTTGGTTTTCCTTTCTTCCGTTTTTCATCCTATTGGCAAAAATTTCCCATTCCTTCCTTATGGGCTTTTATCACCATTTCTTTTACGTTCCTTCTTTTCATTTTATATCTTTTGTATGTTTGTGCCGTTTTTTCTGACAAATAGGTTTTTCTCGTTGTTTTCTTTATTTTGACACGTCTTCTAATTTCATCTGTATACCATGTTTGTTTTTTGGTCCTTCTTTTTATTGATGCCACACTCTGCTTTAGCTGATCTATTATGTTGAATGATATAAAGCGGATTTAAATATAAATAAACATTGTAACAATGACATTAACAAAAAAGGATTATAAAATAATTATTCAGGAAGAAAATGTAGAAGTTTATTGCAAACCTTTGGACAACTTGCAATCAAGTTGCAAGTGCTCACAAGCGACATACATTTTCGATTTAAAGATGTTGAAGACATTTGAACTCCCGATTGGGTAATCAATCCATTCACCAGCGATTCTGTTGTAGTACCGTAGGGTATCCACGAAACATTAATCGATTTGTAGGTAAATGGGCTAAAATCTCTTTCGAACAAAATAGTTGGCAAATTTAGGATAAAAAATAGTAAAACATTTTTTGTGTGTCATTAAAAAACTGATATGGTAAGAAACGCAAGATTAATTATGACATTTTTCTCGTCATATTTAGTAGAAAAAGGATTTAGCGCTGGATTGCAGATGTTGACAAAGCTTTATCTCACTAAGTCCTACAATTACAAGGTTATGTAAAGGTCATCAACCTCGAAGTTCTCGTTAAAACTTTAAATATGATGTAGATATTTTTCTTTATATCTTTAAGTTAAAAGCACAATAAAGCTATATAACTTGTAAGCCTAACTTCTAACAATAACTAAAGAAGTACAGAAGAAGTTTCTTCGTAGGTTCTTAAACGAATGTATGAAAAAGGATGTCTGTATATGACACGTTACTTTTTAAGGTGAATGTACATCTAATATTTATTCAAAATGAATTGGGGGGCGATCAATGACACGAAAAATATAAATCAGGCATTTTGTTCAGGAAGGTTAAGAAACACCGATCTAGTCGATAGTGTAACCTAGTTCATACTAGGAATGTAGTGATGATACCGTAGAAGATGATACCTCGTAACCAGAATCTAAGTCGTCTCCAAGGAAGCACTAACGGATGTTGAAACTGTTTTAAATTTTGATAATGATTAAGATTACTGATGCAGTTTTGAATTCATGATCAAAAATCGCCAAAGTGAATCTAATTGAATCTATCTATCAAAATGTTGATCACATATAAAGAAATGAAAGATATGGAAACTTGATAAATTGGAATTAATCCAAAAAATGTCTTATATTTTAACTATGATTTCTTGTCAATGACGCAATCTTAACCTGACCTTTGTTTCGACCAAGAACAATAGCTACTTTAAATAAGGGCCAATTTGCACATAAAGCTGACGGGTCATGGTCTGGATTTGAATAGTGACTAATTGGAGTACGACCCGTTTGTGACTCTCCCTGAAGAGAGAAGCTTTCATTTAAAGTATGTAAGGGTGGCTGTGGTATTTACACGCTACGTGCGATTTTGAAATAATTATAGCCTCCGGGAACGTGTGCCGTGGTTGCCAAAGTAATTAGAATTTCCGGAAGTCCTGAATTCACGATCCCTTCTCGTGTTGCAAATTCAAAACGTCGAGTTGATCCCCGAAGTCGCATAAATTAAACATATACAGAGAAGTTGCCTAAGTTTTCTTACGTTAATGTTATGTTTTATTGTTATATTTAAATTATGTTTTATTGGGCTTGTGTCTTCGCCATCTTTTAAGTTTCAAACATTGAAATAATAGATTTACCACGAAGGGGGAAACGTCTTCCGTCAATCGTGGAAATCCAATAAAGGGAAACCAATTTGTCGACGTGCGTGGGTCTCAAAGAACATAATATTGGGAAAATCGTGTAAGTTTACTTTTTCGGAGAACGACGTGCGTATCCTCGACTAAGTTAACAAAGAAAAAGGAAAAAATCGTGCGGAAAACCTCCTAAATATATCCAATCTGCCGCCTTGAGATGAAATAGTTTCGAGAAATAGCCACTTCAATCCTCCTCCTTGATTTTCTCGCATTCGAAGGGAGGTGGATTCATCTTCTTCAAACCCTACCCAGATCCAGAGAAACCCTGATGGCCGGGTACCCAAAAGAAGTTTTATTTCATATGTAAATAGGCGTTTATTCCCTGTCGCTCTTGGAAATTTATGTATATAGGGGGAAGAGTTATATAAATATTGGCCGGATGGTGAAACTTGAGAACTGCCTTATGCCGACGTTAATTTAATTAAATTCGCGCTCAACTTGAAACTCAGACAAGAAACAATAGGATCTAATTTGTCAAGAACGTTTTGACGATCCAACGTACCGCAGAAACTTTCTCAAATTTATCACCTAAAGTGGTGCTGTATTAGCGTAACGAAATCGAGCGATGTAATCTTTGGGGAAGTTTGTTTTGTAAGAAAGTAATTCGCATAGACTATGATATCAAACATTAGAGAGTAAAATGATTCAAGAGGGAAAGCTTCTGTTATTATACAGTTATAAATCCTATTCAAACTTATTAAAGAGGTATTACTAACTCATCTCAAGTCTTAGCTCTTCAATATTTAACAAAAAGGGGAATTTAAAATATCTCGGTGAATCTAAACATCCATATTTTCTAAATTAAATTGAAAACTTTAATTAATCTTGATAAATTGATCATAATTATTGACTTTCGGCAATAATTCAAGATCACCCATTATGCCATGAATTATAATTTATAGGTCAACGATCAATAATAGGACAAATTATGTAAATGTTGTTCTGTCTATCATTTCAGAAATCACCCTTCCATATGATATTTAATTTATGTAGTATCAGGCTAAATTAGTTTTAGTGCAAAACTTGAAAATCTATCATGCTACGTTTGATTTACATCCCTATTATAGGGAAACAAGCGTAATTAATGTGATACATTACACTTTAAACTCAAGTGGGTGAACTTGAAATTAGATGGAAACTATGCGGCGATGTTGCAGAGCTTGGTATCGCTTATTATTAAATATTAAATGATCGTTGATGCAATGCGTTCGTTGAGCACCAAGCTCCATTACCTTTTATTCTTGCCATATATTTAAGGAGTAATAAAAGGGGGTCTGTGGATCGTTTTTTTTTAACTTTGCAAGTTTTGCTTTGGACGTCATCATAAACAAACCCTTAATGGGAGTTCGTGTCGTCGTTTTTCTTTTTCGAAACGATGAAATATCGCTGTTTTAAATGTATGGAATATTAAAACTTTTTTTCTTTCAATATCAATAAAATAACGAAAATATTGTCAAAATTTGAATATAAAAATAGGGTTGTAACATCTGGGATGATAAATCGTCCACGTTTAGCTCACGAAAAAAACTTTTTATTTTATAAATTTTCCAACTTTCCTAAAACTAATATTTATTTCGATCTGTTTTGTTTGTTCAGGCACAGTACTGGTGGAGGCATCGGGTTCGGCCTTTGCAGTGGACTTTCCGTTCGGTGCCGTACAAGAGAATGGGAAAACTTTTTCCATGGGATCAGATCATATCTCTCTGCGAGGGTCGATTGGTAAGGAAATGGATTTGATCCGAGTAAACGGGCCCAAAAACACAACCTCTGTTCGCCGCCGTATTTCTTTCATTGGTGTTTCGTCTACGCCGACAATAACTTCCGCTGCATGCTGCTCTTTCTTTTACGGACAATAATTAGGCGAGAATCAGATTCCGGGGGAAGATCTATTCCATCATTTGTATCCGATTCAAATTGGATAAGATTGAAATTGCTGTTTGTACATATCTTGCTTAAAATACAAAAAAAATTAAAACGATAAACAGAATTTTGCTACTTCTTACCGATCACCTAATTTACAACAGAGATAAGTGCGTGTATATATGTATATTGTAATGTAAGTAAAAAAGCAATTGGTGGTGTGTATTGTATTTTATATTTATATTTGTACATAATTGTAATGGATATGGAATAAAGTGATACTATATATATTAAATTATTGTTTTATTATATTTCAGTACAAAAATGAAACAATTTCAAGATCATATTCAAAATTTTTTGAATATGTTTAGAATAGTTACATCTTCCGCCACTAATAATAATGTGTTTTGTTAATAACTTCTGCCACTAATAATAACTGTAACACAATCGCAAATTGTTAGAATGAGAAAAGATTACTATCACGAAAACAGTTTTTCAAACACGAAATACACGCACATAATGACAGTGGAGCAACAATTACCGTATTTTAATCCTAATTTAACAAACTCAGTGTTAGATCCGCAGGGAATATTGAAATTATGGACTACTTCAAATGTTTTTGTTTGGAATTAACATACTCTTTTGCACCATGCAATATCAAAACTATCAGGTCCAGCTAGGTTATGAGAAATCAACTTTAAATAACAGATTGGACAAAGTTTAAGAGAGCAATTTGTCATGATTTGTCAACATTAGTTGACTCACGACATTTCTAGTTTTAGTTTTATTTCTATATAATAAACGACATGCGACATCAGTGGTAAAGATTGAGAGAAAACTCTTAGTTAAAATAACATTGATGTTATGAGCTACGTTTTACTGAAAATCAAACAATAGAAAATGTATTATAAAGATAACCTCACCTATGCAGGAATTAAATGTTTCACAAAAATCTAATTGAAAAGAGAATGATAATTTCGGAATGCAACCAAGAAAGTGCTATAATTGCAATGAAATACTAATGGTGAAAAAAATTCAAAAAGTTAATATTTCGGATTGCACGCTGCGACAAGAGTGGAACATGAATTGGGGATGGATATCCAGAATGTACCATTAGCTGAAAGAATTCGGCCTTGGATTAGGATGATCTATTGAAAAATGCCAAAGTTTATTACAAATTGATGGAGTTGAGATGGAAGTAGAGATCTATGTAGTTCCAGATCATTGCCAAGAAGATTTGTATTAGTGTTTTCTACGAACCGAATGTTAGAAGAACTAAACTTTGTGTGTGCAATGATATGTCATTACTAAAACTAAATCTTAAAATGAACACATTTTAACAAAACCAGAACAGAAGTCAGAAATAAACGTTGAAACAATGATGGATGATGAAGAGTGCGATGACAAAAAAGATTGTGAAGAAAATTTGCAAACCTATTAGGATACAGAATATTGAAAATGAATGTTCAATTCCATGTGCTCCATAACAATCAAAAATGATGTAGTAGAATGTGACGTAAACATTAATCTTGGTAACATAAACAAAAAAGAATTGAGAAAGCTTATCCAAGATTGTCACGAATCTCTCGCGAGCTCTTCCAAAGAAGTACATACTTCATATGCGAGTCCAGTAGTATTACTTAGTAAACGGACTGGTGAGAAGAAACATCAAAACATTACACTAAGAAACGGAAGGAACGAAAAGACATGAAGACTCGAAACACTTGAAAGTACCAAAAAGGAGACTCAATCATTTCATTAGATGAAAGACGGATCTTACAGGATAGTCTAGGAAGATGATACCATTATACAAAGGATCATATCTTGTAAACACCGTTTTTGAAAATGATAGATATCACATACCTGACATGCCACGTGCTTAACGAACTTTAGTTCAATTTTTGCTGCAGATCTTATAAAAACCATGTGTCAGAAGCCAGATGAAGACAAAAATCGATAAAAATAAAAAATGTCAGAGAGTTAGTGTGTTATTAGAAAGCAACGTATTTGCTAGCATGTAAAATGATGAGAATGTTTTTTGAATATATAACGTATTTGGACACCAAAGTAAATAAAAGTGTTAAATGTTAAAAAAACTCTTTGATTTTACTATGTACATATAAAGTTGCATTCATTATCCATACCTTATTAAATATAAATTATTCAATAAGAAAAGTAGCGGAGCATATAAACTGTTCAAAAACAGTGCTTTATCAAGCTCGACTACACTTTCCAAACTACAATATCACAGAAAACATTCCACTGAGAAATCAGCCTAGAAAAACATCATGAAACATTGATTTTCTGATTGTTCGGCTATCTAACGACAATTAAAAGAAGATTTACTGAGAAATTTACTAAAATAATTATGGTTTTAGATGAATGGTTCAGGTAATAAAGATCCTCATAATAAAGATTCCTACAACGTCCTTCATGCTAAAACCTGTGGTAAAGTGCGTAACATAAAAATTTAGTGTTGCTTGTGATGAAGAGGTAGTAGGTCTACTAAAATTCATCGATGGAATATTATGTCAACATCAATACAAAGATATTTTACAAGAAACCATTCTTCCTTATGCAGAATATATTTTATGACCGTCATATGGAAATTTCAATAAAACAAATACATGCCACGTTCTGTGAACAAAATGTTAATTAATAACTGTGACAGTTTTGGATTGCCTCTTGGAATAGTCCAGATTTGAATCCAATCGAAAAATCTGTAGAAGGAAGTAAAATTACGCGTGACAGATAAAAAGTGTAGTAATTTAAAAGAACTTTATGGAGATGAATTGATTCCTGGAATGCGATTCCATTTGAAACGTGTTGTAAACTTGTGAAATCAATGCTGGCAAAATGTAGGGCGGAAATAGATAATAAAGGGTTCCTTACAAAATATTAAATTGTTTATTTAAAAAGAACGACACACAATGGCCATTGAAGTTACGCTTTTCGTAAACTGTACCTTTTTCTTACATTCCTTCGTTCTCTCGATTTAATTGTTGGAGGAATATTGTAGTTGCGCTTATTTAGTTATTTAGAGAACGATCTTGATTAAAAGATTTTGTTCGTTTTTTTTTTTTGTATTTTGTCACTGTTATATTGAATTATTGCATCTAGACGACTTTCATCATCATTTATAGCAGAGTGTACCATGATGATGAGTAGAATATTTTGTTCTGGATTTATTAACAATTACCCGTGGTAATATTTCTGTCACTTTCACTAAATTTTCTAAACTAAATACAAACTCAATTAAGAAAATAAAATTATTAGGTATTGTATAATATAATATATTAAATATACTAATTTCGTATTAAATTAATTAACCCTCTGTCGGGTGTGGTCGATCTAAGCGGCACAGCAGGGTACTTTCGGGCTTGCCTTTATTAACTATGTAAACAAACTCCACTCGGTCATTTTTTCGTTGCTTGCTTGGATTGCCTACGTTTGATTTCTTAGTCTCCCTTTCTCAGTATTTCATGTGCCCTGAGTCGTTACTAATTACTTATTATTTAGAAGTAAGTTAAATTTTTTTCATTCAATTTATTTATTTTAAGAATGAAAATTGAAATAATGAAATTCTGTACGAACTCAAAAAGCAGACAATATGGCGACAATATCACCCGATGAGGATAATCAAAAAAGTAACCACGTGAAATAAAAGCCACCATCAAAACCATGTCGGGTAAGTTCTTAAAACATAATCACCTATCTTCCTGAAATAACCGGAAAAGCAAGGAATGTTAAAACTGCTCTTGAGTGTTGGGGTCATTTCTTTGTTGATGAAATTATTGTAACGATTGCCAAATTCACAAAGCTTAGGGAGAGAGAGATCAGACATACAAAGTTTATTAAACTCTAGGATTGTTGGGAAAAGGATGATTGTACAATTGCTTTGATTTATGAAGTTTTTAACAAATTCGTTGAAAATTGTCGAAGGAATTATTGTTTTTGTGAAAACGTCACCATAGATGAAATGTTGTCTGGTTTCCGTGGAAGGTGCTCTTTGGGATAATATATACCTTCGAAAGCAATGAAATGCAATACAAAACTGTTATTATACCTATTACTCGATTCTATAATGACTTATCCATTAAATTTCTAAATATGCAGCTAAATATGATAGTAAATGAAATAGGTTCCAGAACAGCTCCTTCACAATTACCATAGAATATGAACTTCCATATGAATATAGACTTTCACCCTCTGGATGTGGTCAGTAAGACACTTAGTATTGTACAGATCGACATATAACAAAGTAATTTGCTCACAACGGTGTGATATCAAATGCTTTTTCTAAAAAACCACAGCAGTCCCCAGTCGACAGCGGTCGATATCATCTGTTGGATTTAGCGTTTACGCTAATGAACCAATCAAACAAGGATAAATCATTAATCCCTATATTCATTTCTTATAGATGCAGCAATAAGGTATTAAAGATGATCATTTTCCAATTGTTTTTACGCCGCAAACCACAATTAACCGTTAGTGCTTTATTTTAAAACATAGGAAGATTTGATGTAAACAAGCTGAATTAAAAAATGACTGAAAGTTTTTAATATTTGGAAATTTTGCTCCAATCTTTGCTAATGAACCTCGCAAAATATGTAACCTTCGTCTCTTTCAATATGATGGAACGAAACATGTTCTGAGGTCATTAATCATAGAAGAATTCTTATTAAGAAGTATAAACATAATCCTACACTGGAAACTTATATTAAGATTCAAGAAGCTGAAGCTTGTGTTACAAGACATATTAAGAAAACGATGTAAATATTTTTACAATAATTAAAGTTAAAATTCTTTTGTAAAGGAAGTCTGGTCTTTTGTGGGTAAAATCTCTCTTAATAGATAGAATTTGGGTAATATTATCTAAACAACTAGAATGCAAAAGCAACGAAATTACTAGTTATGAAATGACAGGTATTTTGCCAATGAGTGTAAAAGGGTTTATTTTTGAGATTTTTCAAGAATTTAGGGCCTTATATTCCCAAATTTAATACAACTTAGAGGTGGTTATACCAAAAGTGAATGAAAATGCACGCTGTTGTCATATGAAGGTGTTATTTTTGACTTTTCAGGAATTTTTCTGACAATCAATTTTGTAGCTACAATTTTAATAGATTTCAGAAATACATAATATAGTGCTTTTTGCTTACAACTTAGATGTATCCCAACTGAGAGTATTTTGTGGGGAATTAAATTTTCCTATTTATTTTTTCCTACCAAGGTATATACAATTAATTCAAAAGAATTAATTATACCAAGATATCATGAGATATTTTGTTAGGG